TCTCCGTACAGAATTTTGTACAACGACAAGAAAGAGCAAAACCCTAAAAACCCTTGGAGATCACCTCCAATGGTTCGTACCCTAAAAATCTATTCCTTACAGAAACCCACCATTATCGCCTGGTTAACTACATTCGAAATAGAAAAAACGAAAGCGAGGGAAGGATCTACCTTACCTTTTTTGCCTGTGGAGGTTGAACTTCTCACTGTCACCGGAAAGTGCGCACCAACTTGAAGGATTGAAAATTTGGTCTCACGAGAGCTTTGTGCTTTTTTTGAGAGTATGAGTGTTGTGACATTGCTTGAGGCAAGTCTGAGATTTTATAGTGGAGGAAACGGCGATTGATGTTCCCGAAGTCAAGCGACGTTTGGGTAGAATGCGTCTCTCGTCGTTGATCATGACCACGTGTCATCAATCAGTGAGAAAGAGTAACCGCCACGCTTCGAGAAATTCAATCGTCATGTCTGTCTGTTGAAATACTCAAGTGACGGCTCAATTCTCTCCTCCACATTAAATGGCATTTAATGCCTTGGTAAGGAATGACGTTTCAGCATGGCTTGCATTTAATGCGCATGGCTGACACTTATTGCGCATAGGACACGTTTGTCAGAATAAAAGGTACTTCATTAATGGATTAGTTGTCAAGAGCAATGGATAACATCTGAAGAGGTCGTTAGAATAGAACACTCTTCGTCGCATATTTGTTGCGAAGTGATGTGATTCCTTACCTCCAGCAGAAATATGTTGTGTAATCAGGTCGCAGACCTTGGTTAAAAATAAAAGGTGCACCGATACGGCACTGAGTAGGGTCTAGTCCAGGTCGTCGACTTCGCGGAAGAAGACCATCTCAGGTCGCTCGTAGAGAAATGTTCTGCAACCTCTTTATAGCTAGGTCGGCTGGACCAAACGCCATTTGGATATGTCAAATCATGACATAGTTATGAAGTTCTCAAGGTTCGATCCTTAAACCTTAAAAACTAGGGGACTTCTATTATGCCGAAAAAAGTAAGGCTGACGCGGAGCCTCGTCAGTAAAGGATGGTCAGAGTTCAGAAGGGTTCTACGTCGTCCAAGTGCGGCCACGTCTTGCTTAGCGCAAGTGGCATGGCTCCTGTCAGTGTAACAGGTGAGTGCTAGGCCAGCAAGCGGCTGGAGATCACCCACGTGTCAAAGTCATGCTTTAAATTGAGGAAATCCCTCGGGCAGGTGATCAATGGGACGCAAAGAAAGGATTTACACAACACCTACCCACTTGTAGCTTTCATAATCATTACCTTGAACTTTCCACTTTAAATAGAGGACTTCCCTCTCATTTGAGGGGATTAGCTAATTTTACGCTGAAACAGCTCTCACTCTCTAAACTATAACTTAGCTCGTTAAACGTGACCTGATCACTCTTTTATTAATACAATAGTAGTGGACGTAGGATTCGCTTGCGAGCATCCGAACCACTTTAAACATTGCCTCTCATCCCTTATTCTACTGAATATTCTCATATCACATGTGACCTCTAAATCATTTTATCATTTTACACGTGCGAGTAGTTGGTGTCAAAATCGAGCATCAACACCATATATTAATGCAAATTGTGAGTTTGATTTTAAATTTTAAATAAAGCATTTTTCTTTTGGAAAAAAAAAAAATTCATATATTTATGTTTATGAAAACTTAAAATTTTTTGGCCACCCCAATATCAAAATTTGGGCTCCGCCCCTGCCATAATCTACAGTTTCAAGTAAGGCTGAGCAAAAAAAAAGGGTAGAATTGGAACTGGCGAGTACCCAACATAGCTATTCCAATTCCTACCCTATTTTTTCGATTCTCGAATAGGTTTCGATTCTAAAAACGAAAAAATTCGACCTGCATAGGATTGAATTTCGAATTTTTTAATATTGTCCCAAATCTAATTCAGTCGATCTGCAGACATCAATCTTCTTCAGTTCTTTTCTCAATCGAACCCAAGGCCAAAACTCGTAACCTCTTTTAATTATGCCAAAAGATTTTATAAAAAAAATCTCTCTTTCAATCGTGACTACATTTCTCCATATACATTTCAATTTCTTCTTTTCAATCTCTCAATGCCTATATCTCTTTATTGCCATCCCCCTTCTCTACGCCAATCTCTACATTGTCGTTATCCGACATGTGTCCCAATGGTTGTTTCCATCTTTCTTCTCGGTCAAGCCGGCCATTCCTTCGCGTTAAGCCATTTACCGACACATCACCAAGTTGTAGCTGTCATTGTTCTATCTCGGTGAAGTCGATTAGATTCCCAATGGTTGTTTGCATCTTTCTTCTCGTTTGTTTTCAATTCATCTCATCTTCGCATTTAAATAATTTTATTCTCTTCCCTAAATTGTTTTTATGTTGCGGTTAGGGTTTTGTGAACAGTAAAGGGTTTATTTGTAAATTTTGTGAATAATACAAGGTGTATTTATAATTTTTACCTGGACCGGAACCTACCCAACAAGCTCCGGTTCCGGTTCTCTATATTTAGGAACCGCATAGTATTGATTTCAGTTTCAGTTCCGCACAGTTTGGGCCAAATTCCAAAACCCGCTCACCCTTAGTTTAAAAGTATAGTATTAACCTTAAATATCAAAAAAATAAATAAAAGTCAACTTACTATTACGTTATATATAGTCAAAACATTTTAGGCAGTCCCACACTTTAAAGTTCTTGAACCAAAACTTAAGCTCCAAATCTTAAATTATCGAATTTCTACGAAGTTGCTTGGCTACTGCGTAGGTTGCTTGAAAATGTACTGTTACCTTGAAAAGACAAACTTTAGAACCAATACAGACTTAATGGAATATTTAAAATAGCAAAAATACGCTTGAATGTGGGTGGTTAAGAACCTATATATGTACTAACTCAAGAATCCTCACTAACCATTCCCCAAAACAATACTTCTAATCTTTGCCTAGATGGCTTGATCAATCACTGCAGTTCTTTCTCGCTCTTCGGCCGGCTTTCATGTTTTGGGTTGATTTTGAAGTGAATTAACCAGAAATTCAAAAAAAAAAAAAAGATGCCAAGGGACAAAAGCATAGACAAAGCCCTTAAACAGCGACGGCGTGGACGTCGGTCCCAGAGAAGGAGGGACAACCGCGGCAGAGATGAAAACGTTGACCGTCAAGACCCAGTGACTGGTGTTTGCTCTTTCGTGCTTCTGGTCTTGCTATTAGTCCTGGGCTTGTTTTGTTTTCTATATTATTTCATGGGTTTTGATTCTCATGGGACGTAGTTCATGTGCTGTGTTCATAAGAATCAATATAATTTTGAAATAATATCAGTTAATTACTCTTATTCCTTTTACACGACAACGTAATTTCAATCGGTTTAAATAATTACTGAATCTTTCTCCCGAGTTGTCGCAGGTCAGTTAAAAAAGTGAAGAAGACAAGGTTTAATTTCTTTATCATTTGAATTGGGAGAGACGTGAACATAACGATGGTAGACTAGAAATGGTCAAACTTATAAGAGTTTTGGGCATTTTCAGGTGACTAATGGACCTCTTTTTTAATAATAATTATCATATATTGTTCATATCTTATTGGATTTAATGGGCCTCGTAGCAAATGTGTAAAGAGTAATGTTATTTAAGTCCTACTTGGTGGTGGCAACACGTGCCGGCAAGTCTTAAAATTTTTTTGGCACAGCGCGAAAATTCTGTGCCGTGGGCTTAGGATTTTGGGCACATGGGCCCCATGAATTTTAAAAAATTAATTTTTTTGAGAAAAGCCTATGCGGCACATAGGCTAGCCCACGAAGCATGACATGGCACGTCCCATCGAGCCATGGGCCGTGCCGTGGGCTTGAGTTTTTGTTGTCTAACACGACACAGCACGGCCCATGGAATGGTGGGCCATGAAAATTTTGGCCCAACATGGGCCCACCGCCACCTCTCCCACTAAATATCTTTCTAGGCTCCAGTAATAATTAAAATAATTTTAAAAATTTAATTTACAAATATGATATGTTTTATTCCAAAATTACCTCTTCATAATATTTCTTTATAAATCTCTTTGTTAACGCCAATATCTGGCTTTTCTATCGCGTTAAATTTTAGTTTGAATTTTTTTTTTTTTTTTTTTTGGTAAGTAAAACTTTTATAGAAACAGAGAAATAATGTATAAAGAGACCTATAAAAAGACAACCAACCTAGGTTAGGACAACCCCTCAATTTTTTGTCTCAAAGTTTCCATTGCCATTTTTTTTCTTAGAGTAAAATCTGAATACATATCTTTTTCAACAGCATATTCCCTCTCCAAATTTACACGAAGATTTTTTATTTCAATCAACACAACTTCCATGAAAACTAAGAAATCGTTATGAAGGGCAATGAACAAGATTTGAAGTAATTATTTTTCTCATTTTCTTTTCTTCTTCTCTATAATTATTTTCTCGATGATATATAGTTATGGAGATGAGCTGCATATGGACATGAATTTCCAACTTTTTAAAATTATTTTAATTATTATTGAGATTTAAATACCATCTCTCAATTGTAAATTATTTTATTGCTTTTATACAATCAGTACTCCAACTCCAAGTTCTTTTAGATTATAAAACGATATTATTAATCTTAGTTGAACATGTACTGATAAATTTTGAGTTTCCTGAGTATTTTTATAGAAATTGAGTGGAGTAGAAAGAGAAAACTTGTAAACTCATTACAAAGTTGCAACTACAACTGACCAAATAAAGGAATATGATTTATCTAATCTAACTCAATGATATTTCTATTCCAAAATAGTAGAAACGAGAAAGAAGGAGAGTCTTTGGCAGCTACTGATTTAGAATTTTTGAATATTGATCCAATACTTTTGCTAATAACTTATGGTACCACAATGAACATCGCAGTATATAAACTATGATTTGGATTTATATTTATATTTATAATAAATAATAATCATTTAAAGACAAGGTATCATTTTGTTTTATATGGGCCTCAGAGAACCCAATTCTGCTTATATAAGAATCCGAAACCCAAACCCAAATACTATATACTCTGAACCCGGTCCGAAATTACCCATTCGCTTGTTTTCGTCTGGCGAGATCAAAACAAGCGTTTGTTTCAGTCGATTCAGAGCTTTACAAAATATGGCTTCTTTGGACTCCGACGTTACCATGGTTCCAGTTAGTGAGGCATCAAGCAGTTCTGCTCCTTCATCCTCTAAGAAGCCTAAACGTTTTGAGATCAAGAAGTGGAGCGCCGTCGCTCTCTGGGCTTGGGGTAACCCTAACCCTAACCTTTTTTTTTTTTAATTTTTTTAGCTGTTAGTTTCAAATTTAAGAGCTTAATGTTGTTTTGGTTGATTGATGCAGATATTGTTGTCGATAACTGTGCGATTTGCAGAAACCACATCATGGATCTCTGTGGGTTATCTTTTCGAATTTCGTTATGTGTGTATTTTTTATGTTGGGTCTTTATGAATTGTTAGGTAAACTGGTTTTGGTGTTTAGGTATCGAGTGCCAAGCGAACCAGGCTAGCGCTACGAGCGAGGAATGCACTGTAGCTTGGGGTATGTTTTTTATTACTCTAAAAGCCTTTGGCTTATTTTTGTTGTGGATGTTTGTTCTGTTATTTTGGTTCTAATTATAAAATAAAACAAAAACGATGATGGTTATAAATTATATGTTAGTAAAAATACGATGTTGACTCAAGGTTTCTGGAATGTATGATTCAGTAATGTTGTAACAATTTATTGTATGTTTATTTGACAATTTTAATTGTTGCACAATATTTTTTAAACGATGGTAATCTTGCTTTTCGAAGTCCTTAGAGCATGGATAGATAACTGAATAGCTTTACAATTAAGCATGCGCACTCCTTTGGTGACCGTGATCTGGATTCTTTGCTTGTGCAAGCTACACAGACGTTGATGAATTAGGTATTCAGGTTTTTTGGTATGTTGCAAGTGCATGTGGTGTGTTGTGACTCATTCAAACTATAAAGACATTGAGAATTTGGATTATGAATGGAAGGTTTAGGACCTATTGAGGTTTGTACCTAAATAATAGTATGTTGCTACAATTACTATATTTCATTCAAGTACACTGATGTTCATGTTTACATTTTTGGAGAATCACCAGGATCAGCATTACACTGACAAGTATATAGTGGCCACAACTAATTAATTGACACTGAACTCTTTTACCTTTCAAAACTTTGAGATTTATGATAAGCTAATGAGATTTTCTAAGCTTTGTGTGGTTTCGTCTTTTACTTTAATATTTAATTTACCAGTACTTTGTTATGGATCCTTCTTGATCCAGTAATCTGGTAATGTTATTAGCTTTATAATTAAGCATGTCTGGTCATTCAATACAATGCCTCTTCCTTATTCATTCTGATTTGGTTCCTTGACTTATGCAAGCTACATCAACCAGGATTTTTGGTTTGGGGTATAATGTTGTAGTTGGATCTTGTGCGCATGTTGCCTTTCAAATATGTGTGCAAGCATGTACTTGTGTATATAGTGTGCATATGCATGTGTGTTTGTGCATGTGCATATGATGTATCTCTTGTAGTAGAAAAAATGTGTCTTCTTGTTCATCTATATTTGAGTTCTTGGCTCATACAAACTACAAAAACAATGATGAGGGTTTAGTGCTTCGGTTATCAAGAGAAGTTTGAGGAGATCATCAGGTTTTTTTATGTAGAATATGAATTTTCTATCTGTTAGACCTCTATGATAATATGATGTTACGCTTTATATGTTTATCTCAGATAATTGTAGAGACCAAACCTTGTTAATAAATAAGTTTGTCTTTCCTGATATATTTAGTTTGAATCGTGGCAGTAGGACTTATGTGCAGTCTTACAGAGTAGGAGAATCACTGTGTGAATCTGAGCATTACTTTAATAAGCATATTGTGGTCACAACTAATAAATTTGTTGCAAGACTCTTTAACCTTTCTAAATTTTTGGAGATGATAAGTTCATGAGATTTTTTGACCTTTTAATAGTTATATCTTCACTTTAATGCAATTTCTTAATACTTGAATATGGTTTTGTTTGTGCTTGGGTATATATAAAGGCTGTCAATGTTTTTTTGTGATGAGTAAATAGACATTATACTATCAGTGTATAGTGCTTCAAAACAATCAGGTATATCATATTCTCGATTTTGTTAACACTTCTATGGAGTAAATAGAATTGAAGGGTGATCTTTGTTCAATTCATTTCATTTAGATTGTTATTGTTGCTGTTTGACATATGCCTATCGATATGCACAGCCTTATTCAACATCAACTTATTTCTTTCCAGATTTTTTTCTTTGGTAAATCTTTTTTATGTATGTATGTAGAACTGTACTTAAACCAGGTTGGAAATGAAATAGAATCACATGTTTACCCCTTGACCATGGTTTGGGTCTTTGGTTATCACCTTACCTAATTTTCAATGTTCATAGACATAAGTAAATTTTATTGGTTGTAGCCTCTGCTTTTGGCTTCATCCTCTTAGTGACCTCCTAACATTCGGAAGAACATTGGTTTGTATATGTAGGGGTTTGTAATCATGCCTTCCACTTTCACTGCATCAGTCGATGGCTTAAGACTCGTCAAGTTTGTCCATTGGGTATGCCTTATGTTTCCTCTTTTTTAATGTCGATTATTAAATTTCATGTTGTAGTTTATGCATCCTCACTATTTCTATGTGGTTGTCTTGTTTGTGTAGATAATAGCGAGTGGGAGTTCCAGAAGTATGGCCACTAGAGCCTTCGAGTGTTTGAGTTGTTGGATTATCAGTCTGCTCTGTAGTGCAGATTTGAAATAGAATATTTGGGACCCTGTTGGCCCTTTTCCCAGTCAACTTTCTGTCAATTCTACCTGATGATCTTTTTGTGGTTTATGAGATCTGTTGGATATGACTTGGTAGTGAATGATAAATTCTCCTAATAGGAGTTATGTGAAAATTAAGCCCTATTTTCTTTCGTGAATTCCTTTCTTTCACCTCTTGATAATGTGTGTATATGGTATTTATTATGCCATGCATCTATATAATCGGGAGATTATGGTTTGACCAATTGTTGGTGAAATTCTGATGAATGCTTTTACGGGGTTTACACAGGTGTACTTTATTACCTGCACATACTTGTTGAATCTTGTATATTCTCATGATTAGTTTCCCATTCCCAATGCTTCAGTAGGTTATTGGGGGTATCTTCCGAGATTTGTTAACTGTATTGCTTAGTTAGCTAATTCTTGATATAGTACTAATTTGAAATGAATCATTACTTGCAGCTAATTGTTGTATGGTAATATATATGTTTTTAGGTATCTTCTTCTACGTTCCCCAATTCCCGTTACGAACCAGATATTCTTTCCTTCCCCAAATTTAAGCACGTTCTTGTTTTTATTTTTGATATTAAATTTAGGTAACCCTCTAAATGTTCTATAAACGGGTTAAACAATCATTTAATTAATATAACATTAAGAGTGTGTTTGGTTCAGCTAATGTTTTTGAAGATTATTGAGAATATTTAGGGAAATTAGTTTGGTTAGTTAAAATAAATTGGTGAGTATGTTATATTAATATATTTGGTTGAAAGAAATAAATTGATGGGTACGTTATATAATTTATTAAATTGCTATCATTTTTAAATATTAATATGATATTATTTTTAATAATTTCTTTTAACCCTTTTCGTTTGAGATATTGCTAAAACACTACAGCCAAAATTGGTCGTCAAAGGCTGGAGATCAGGCCGTTGTTGGCTATATTTTGGCCGTCGTTAACAGCCAAAAGTCGTAGATCTGGCCCAAAATCGATCTGGTTGTTTATGGCCAAATTTGCGGCGATTTGGCAGTTTTCGACCAGAGATCTGATCGGAAATGGTCAGATTGGCTCACAGCTGGCCAAGTTTGGCTGCTCGTGCACCATTTCGACGGTCGATGGTGTGGTCGACCATTGGCCACCACCTTTGGATAAAGTCTAAAGGTATTTATGTCCTAAAAAATTTGTATGTAAGAATAAAATAATCTATTAGTATTTTTGTAAATTGTTTTTAAAATAAAGACATTATTTTCAAAAAAAAATTAATAATTAGGGGTAAAATTGTAACAAAAATAAGATTACCAAGTAATCTTAAAATACCTAAAAATTAAAGGTAATCAGATTATTTCCTATATTACTAACAATAATTATTATTAGTTTTGAAAGATTATCAAATATTATATTATTTAACAACCAAATTTGATAATTAAATAATATAAGATAACATTATTGAAGAGATTACTCCCAATCAAACATACCCTAAATAGATCTACCCTTTTAAAAGGTTTATGGGAACTAAAGAACCTATAATTCGAAGACATAATTAAGTGAATATAAATTAATTATTATCAAAATGAATTGGCTAAGATCTATTCACATAACAAGTCAAAAATTATTGTCCCTGATGCCGCTCGCTCTCTTACCTTCCCAACTCCCACTGCCATCTTTAAAATTTTCACTGATGCAGAATAAGGAGGAGATCCCAAGTACCGCCTGATTTTAATTCTGATCGTTTCACTCACCCTCGCCTCACGCAAAATAACACCCACTTAACAACCATCTCTCCCATACTCACGCCCGTACTCAAATGCCTAACAAGTATTTTTTAAACTAAATTAGGGATAGTAATAAAACCCAATGAGGTCAGGTACCTGGAAAACCCATTCTTATCCAATGAGGATTACCTGATAAATTCCAGGCTTTGGGGTGAGGATGGGAAAAGTTTTTGTACCTAATAACCGGGACGGGTATGGGGCGGATAGAGGTGTATGCCTGCAAAAGCCGGTACTTGCTCTCGGTTAATAATTTATTAATATTATTAGTACTTTTCATGGTTAATAAATTATTTATAATTTTCATTCGATTTATTAAACATATATTATATACATATGACTTGTATAAGTTTTTCTTCATTTATATATCAAAATTGGATGAAAACAATTATTAATATATTAATAATTTATATGTTGGGTGTGGTTTTTAATTTAAATAATGTCAGTTTCCAATAACAAAGTTTAAAATTGTTGTTTTTTTTTTTCTTTTAGAATGACCAATAGTTAGTCCAAAGACTTTCCCAATAATAATCCAATACCGTCTCTAAGGGCAGGTTCGGATATTTTGTTTGGTGTCCAGGGGCGGAGAAATCACTACCCGTACCCACACCCGAAAATTGCTGAACAAAAACTATAGCGTCGCCTGAGAGATTCGAACTCTCGCGGGGAAACCCCATGTACTTAGCAGGCACACGCCTTAACCACTCGGCCAAAGCGACTTTGTGATTGCTGCTCACCTTTTCTTTTAGTTATTCCAGATCATATGCATTCAAAAATCAAAATAATTCTATTGAATAGATTTCTTAATAACTGGATTCTGAATTCTGTAAAGTCAAATTGATTCCCAATAAAAATAGCTTGAATCTTCTTTCACATTCATCTTCTCTTATCTAAACATTGATGGCAGGTTTTTTATCTTAAGGCAGTTGATTTTNAAATATTGTCAATTCTAAACACTCATTTCCATCCAGAGAATCCAAGGTGCACTAAGGATAAGCAACTTAATGAAATGTTTGCTGAATCAACTACTTAATTCCTGTAAATGAGAGCTTATTGCAGCATTAAAAAGAAAATAAAAATAAACAACCTGATTGTAATGCTCAGTTGTAAAATTATCTTATTGATGATAAAAATAAACAACCTGATTGTAATGCTCAGTAGTAAAATTATCTTATTGATGGTAGCTTGATATTGTCTCATAGCATGAGGAACATTTCATGTCGGATATCTATGTTATGTTTCTCACAAATGAATTCACAGTTTTAAGCAACTAACATGCATGACCATGTTTATGGAGCTTCACGGAATTCCTTCTTGATCTTCTTTGGTTTGCAAGCTAATCATAACCCTTCCATGCTCCAATAAAAAATAAAAATTGAAAAGATTCTGGAATGTTTAAATTTCAGATGCCTAGTCACATATCTTCTGGATTTTTTCTTTTTCTTTTTCACCCAATTCCTGCTAATACCTAAGAATTTGAGTATTTATCTTGATTACAAGCTTTTGTGGTTGTAAGAGTTGGAATTTGCATTTTCTGGTCTGAATGTTGAAACTTTGGATGCCTAGTCACATATCTTCTTAAACTATGGTACTTGATTACGATAAACTAAGGTCTTCTTTTGTTATTTTTTATAACCTTTTGATGTTCATAAGATGATCCAGAGTACCTAAACTTGTGTGTGTAAGATAATATTCGAGAATCAGTAAGATTTTATCTAGTATATTATTAGTTTAAAATATGGGTGGGGAAAGCTTAGAGCATTTCTTCACTGAAACTTTTTCCATTTGTTTCATTTTATGATTGTAGTCTACACATTGGGATCTTCTTGATTATTGAATGATCAGTTTGTTAAAGTGGAAGAGCCTCTATGATGATATGATCTGTTTTATTTAGTGAACAATGGGAATCACATAGAATTAGTCATTCTCTTCACTTAAGTTTGCGTTATCTTTACAGGCACTAGAAAAATCAAAATATGAGCAATCACTGGAATCTGTTAGGCGCTTTATTGCCATTGCAGAGAAGGAATTGGAGCTATATTACAGACATATGGCACTATACGGTGACCCGAATGATCGGAATCCCATTTCAATCTTGGACGGTCCTACAAAAGTCGCCCGGGAATCACAAAAACATGAAATGCTGAAAAGGAAAGGGCATGGTTCCACCACTTATAATGTCTTTTCTCCAGGTATTTCAGAACTATCAAAATTTGAAGATGAAGACTTATCGATAAGTGAATCAGATTCCGAAGATGATTTATTGTCTGATTCTGAGTACTATGGGAAAAGCCAAGTAAGCTTTTCTGGAACTCAAGAGAGCTCATCATCAACAATGTTTGAAACTGTGTATGACTCTAAGAATCAAAACTTTTCTAGAACAAAATATTGATGTGAATATTTAATATAATATCGAGTTGAGTGCTAGATCCTGATAATTAATCTTGATAAACACCTCTTTATTAGTTTTGCACCCTCATTAATATAGATTTTATCATGTTTATTTTCTGAAAAATGAGGATATTTGTTGGAAGAAAATTGCCCCAATTGGTTGCATACTATTATTTACATTTGAGGGGAAAAAGAAAAGATTGGCCTTCATATGACTTTTCTGTCTTAGGGTACATCCTGTCATTTATATCTATCCCAATGAGCCATTAATCCTATTATCCCAATGAGGTTTATGAAATCTGTTATCAATTATAATTGAATACATGTTATAGAGAATCAGTAGATAATGTCCTATTTAGGGCTGCTAACGAGCCGAGCTGAGTATTCTGCTAAACGAGCTCGGCTTGTGAGGGGGGAAGGGTTAAACGAGTTTGAGCCGAGCCGAGCCGAATCGTAGATTGCTGGCTTGGCTTGAACTCGTTAGGGATATAGGGCAATCGAGCTTGGCTCACGAGTCAGCTTGTCAAGTCGAGCTCGAGAGCTGGTACTAAAACATCCAATTTTTTTTTTCGGATCAAACCTGTTTTTTCATGGTATTCAATCCATTTTCTGTCCTATAAATTAAAACAACAACTAAATCTCTTTACAAATTAAACATAAAAGAAATGTTGGGGACATGTATGTATAGTATATTCCATTTTAATGCCACAAAGGCACAAAATATTTGACAAACACAAGTAAACTTGCATGTATTTGGCAAACAATTGAATCTTTACATGTGATCATTTCATCATACTATATACAAAATACTAAAGTCGATCTGTTTCAACAAACTAAGTGAAGTGAATTAAAGTTTTTGTTTGATTCATCTTTCATCAGAACAAAGAGGGATTATATACAAATTTAATCCCAAAATATTAAAATATAATGTTTTATAAAAAAAAATGGATGTATGTTGGGCAGATACATCCCAAAATCATTCTTGTTCCACTCCTGCAAACAAAATAATAATAATAATAATCACTTAAGGACATAAGTACATCAAGATGAATATGCGAACTCAAACAAAAAATTAGTTAAATCAAACCTGTACAATCCTACTACCATAACCAATGACATGCAGCAGAATCAAACAATCTATTGATTCCCGTCAATTGACAGGATAGGAAGAACAATCTCCAAGTGGTCTTGCTCTTTTTGAAATGAAATAAAAAATAAAAAATAAGTTTATATTACTATAAAATAATTGTAAATATTGAATTGCACTAAAAATTAATCAAGGGAACTTAATTTGCACCCTTTTTTCACTTCGTTCAAAGATTGACATCAATCACATCCACATAAGAGCATTTCCACCGTGTCCAAAGACAAAGAAGCTCGATAACTATCAATAACCCTACTCTCAGCACTGAATGCAGACTCTGAAGCAACCGTAGTGATCGGGATGGCTAGTATCTCACGAACCATCAAAGACAATGTAGGGTACTTGGTTGAATTTGTCTTCCACCATTGTAAAGCACCGAATGCCTCACGATCCCCCACGCACTTATGACACCCCTCTCTCAAATAACAATCTAGCTCAGACTTACTTAGCTCAACAGTCTCCACTACATCCAAAAAACTGCTAAATCATCCCAACTCGAGGCTCCCAGAGTCGTTGCCTCCTCACCAACGGCTCCAACTCCATCCCCTACTACTGGAGGCCCACGAGAAATAGTAGAAGCTTTATTAGCTTCAACATACTCTCCATATAGCTCATATAGTGCATCCCGAACAGTTACAATATTTGCACGGGCTTCTAACTCAAAATACATTTTGGGGAAGACCTACTGAATTACCCTCATTTTCAATCGAGGATCCAATACAGCAGCCACAGACATCAGCACATTACATTCCCCCGAATATTTATCGAACTTCTCCTTCATCTTCCTCACCATGTTTCTAATAAACTCATCTCCATCTTTACTCTTACTATCCAACATCATTTTCACTAAACAAACCTCCTTTAAAAATATATTAGATGTCGGATAATCACTACCACTAATGAGATTGGTTGTACCACTAAAAACCTTTAAAATGTCACACACTTTCTCCCAATCCTCATCTTGTGGATAGTAATGATAACTTGAATCCTTTTCTTTCAACCTAGGAAATACTTTTTTAAACTTAATCGCCATTGCCAACATTTCATACGTCAAATTCCATCTTGTTTTATAATGTAGAATAAGCTTCTGAAACGACAATTTAAGTTGTTGCACAATCTCAGTAAAAACAATGAGGTTCAAGATATGGGCACAACATCTAACATGAAACAATTTCCCTTCACAAATCAAATTCCCCATAACTTCAAAATTTTCCCTCAGAATTCTGATTGCAATGTTATTACTTAAAGCGTTATCCACTGAGACAGTGTACACCTTATTTTCAATCTTCCATTCCGTAAGGCACTTGGAAATGGAGTCAGCAATCATAACACCAGTACAAGGAGGAGGTAAATGCACAAAGTTGAGAACACGTCTATTCAACCTCCAAGTACCATCTATCCAATGCCCAATGAGCACCATATACTTCATCTTCTGATTGCCAGAATGCCACAAATCCGTAGTCAAACTAATCTTGGCCACATTCTTCAATAGCATCTTCAACTTCGCTTTCTCACTCTCACATACTTTCATTGAATCATTTTTGCAATTATGGAAACCGGACTCCATTCAAGAATCTCATACTTCATCATATTGTTCAAGCTCTCTTCCTCGATAATTGATAATAGATGCTCATGCATAAGCAGCCAATGGGCGATAAGTTCTCTCATCTTCATCATGTCAAACTTTCCACTTAAAGCAAGCAAAATAGAAGTTCCAACATCAGAATCGACAACGAGAAAAGTAATGTGTTGTTCCTTCATGGAAGCTATTCTCTTTGAACATCGTTTCAAATGTCTATCAAACTAGGTGGTGCTTCTGGTGGCATTAATAGACAGCTTGGCTTTGTAATGGATACACTTTGCCTTTTTTGTACCCCTAGGAGAACCACCTCTATAAACTCTGTCCAAACTTAGCTCTCTTTTTCCTCTGAATTGGATTCTCATTCTACCCACCATTATTTGGGCTACTAACATTGTGTTTCGTATTTGTAGTGCTCTCATTCAAGGAACGTTTATTGCCTGGTGTAATCGTAATTGTATCTTGCTTTGTAGGGCTACTTGAGGCACTGCCGGCCATTTCCAAACCTATAATGCAAAATAAAAACAAAGGGATTAGCTACATTTAATATAAAGTAAAAGCAAATCCTAAACAGCACAGTCCACANCCATGCAGCCACTTTGCCATGATATTATTCGAGAAGAGGAGGTATGGAATCTTATTGGATTTATTTCTTCATCTGAGGGACTTGTAATTGATGTAATATGGAATGCTGAAGATTATGTTGCTGGAATCAGGCATTGACAAAATTACTGCAGATATTATGCTACTGATTTATTTGCTGTAATATTATGTAATCATTTTATATTGATTGTATTTCCTTTATTATTTACATAGCCTCTGTATAAATAGGCATTTGTACACATTACAAAGGATATATGAAATACACACATTCTTCTATATTTCTTTCTTCCTCTCGGCATTCTTCAGCAACATAGTTGCTTCTATTGCCATCCTTTATTCTTCTTGGCATTCTTCGGCAATACAATTGCCTCTTTTGCCACCTTCTGCTCAGATTATTACATGGTATCAGAGCAATCTACAGTATCTCTCTTCCGCCAACACAATCCTTTTTGGCCAGTTTTTCATAAACTTGCAAAACCAAAGTATTAAGATCAGTTTAGTTTTTGTTCTCCAAACCAAAAATTAAACCAACAAACACCATATACAACCAACAAATTCATCATGGATCCAACCAAAACACCACCAGTATCAGCACCAGAACAAACAGCCACAAATGAGCCACTACATCAAGCCCAACCCGATCCAAGTTCTACCTAATGTTTCAGTTTATTCCAGCCGCCACCAATCGGCTAGAACCTGGGGATCCACTTTACTCGCTGGTTTCTGATGGCTCCGAGCTTGTGCTCATTAAACAACCTCTAGCCGGATCAACCAATTACGCAACTTGGGCCATAGATTTTCGGCGAGCCTTGATAACCAAAGACAAGGAAGGGTTCATCGATGGAACCCTTCCAAGACCAGATGAACCACACCTCATCAAGCACTGGAACTGGTGCAATACACTTGTTCGAGCATGGATTAGCAACTCTCTCACCCAGGAGATTGCTGTCGGACTACCTCAAATAGAAATCGCCCAAGAAATGTGGGCAAACATTCACGAGATGTACGGGCAATTAGATCTCGCGAAACTGTTCAGTTTACGCCAGACTCTTGTTGAAATTAAATAGCAAAATCTCTTTGTAACTTCCTATTTTAATTGCCTTTCGGCGATTTGGAATGAACTCGATGTTGTTAAAGAACCATTTGAAGGGCCTCTAACAATTCTCCAACAGATCTAGCGTGTGAAGGACCAAAATTGGCTAATCCACTTCCTCATGGGCTTGAACGAAAGCTTTCTTCCCTTTCGCACCCAAATGTTGACCACCTCGCCAGCACCATCACTCCGGTGCACTTACCAGCTTGCTGTCCAAGAGGAAAGCCAGCGGTTGAACTTGCAAGACACTCATCATCTTGGATCCATCGCCTTCAACGTATCTCAACAATGACGGCAACAAAATGGTGACTCTGATCTGTTGGGTGTAGACGAAAATGGTAAAGGAGAAGTTTTTGAGCAGCTAAGGTTGAATAGAGAAAAGTCTATTTTATATGGGGTTGTCAACGGCCCAGATGAACTAGGGCTGTGCAAATCTGGATATCCGATCCGAATAGGACATTTTTTTATCCGATCCGAACTTTCGGATCAAGCTATTTGTTGATCCGAATCCGATCCGAATTATGTGGATATCCGATTATCCGGATATCCGATTATTCGGATCGGATAATCGGATATCCGAATTTTATCCGAATTTTAAGATTTCCTTATTAAAATTTAAAACCAAATAATTCAATCCTTCATTTCATTGGGCGTTCAATGAACTACAAACATAAGCAGTTAGAATGTGTCACATTTNCACTAATTTCAATCACTACAATTATAAAACTACAAAACAACCCAAAAAGCATAACATGACTCATGTCTAATGCTCCAAATTAGGCGTGGATGTTCCTTCGTCAAGTGATTGAAGTCCAATCATTTCTACAAAATAAACACAAGAAAGTCAATTAGTAGCTTCAAAAAGTAAAAACATTGAATAAATTTATTTACTAATAACTTAAAATAAATTTAAGAGATAAGAATATAATCGTTACTTAGTTAGATACTATACCCACTTCATAAGCCTCTGCATCCTCCAAGTAAGCTTCATCCAGAGTTGGTGCACATTTCAACCAACTGCTTGTACAAATCAATGATTCAACAACTGGCGAAGATAAAGAACTTCGAAATTTATCAAGTACATGACCCGATGTACTAAAAGCTAACTCGGAAGCAACTGTAGACATCGGGATTGCAAAGAGATCTTTGGCCTTACCTGAGAGAACTATATACTTTGATGCATTTGCTTTCCACCATTCCAATACATTCAAGTCAGACATTATGGATTCACATTTATCATCAAGGTACCGGTCTAACTCTGACTTGGCAGCATCTTGTACCTCTACCTCCATCTCCTCCACATATGCCGACCTCAGAGGGTCAGGGACAATACCACCACGCTGACTACTAGCACCAATTAAAGGTTGATCATTTCCGCTTGTTGGACAAGAACTAGAAGCTTGACTTTCATCTAAATTTGATGGAAGTCCTTTATAAAATTCAAACAATTCTTGTAACACATGTCTCACGATTCCGAACATCCTTTCAGCCTTTTCGTAGTCATCGGCATTATATCTTTTTTTTGTAGCACCAACTCACATATTTCATTTTATTTCTGGGATCTAACACTGCTGCAATCAACACCATCACGTTCATTTTGTCAAGACTCCCAAAATATTTGTTAAATTTCTCCCTCATTTTAATTGACATTGCATTAAGACAAACATTAGAGTCTTTCTTCCAATAATTTAAAGTAGTGACAATGCCTACAATTTCATGAAAATAATTGTTAGAAGTCATATAGTTGGACCCTGACATCCTAGTTGTAGCTTCATAATTTTTCTTTAGGAACTTGGCGAACACAGTTGCATTTTCCCAATCTTCATCAAAAGGAACATCATATGTCATTTCAACCAAGTAGTTGGAGTCCTCCTCTTCCAACCTTTTAAAAGCTTTTTTGAATTTGATTGCCGATTCCAACATGAGAAAAGTCGAGTTCCATCGAGTAGCAATATCAAGACACACCGTACCTTTATAACCTATCATTTCTTCTTTGACACATCTCTCAAAGATTTGTCTTCTATTGGTAGAACTCCTCACATACTTAACCGTATTATGAATTCGGTTAACAGATTCCTTAATCTCGCTAATACCATCTTTCATAATCAAATTCAAAATGTGAGTTGTGCATCTCATATGAAAATGTTCACCATTTAGAATCAAAGCATTCTTATTCACCAGTCTCTCCCTAAAGTAAGTCATTGCCACATCATTAGCGGTTGCATTATCCACCGTTATAGTGGACACTTTATTTTCAATTCCCTAGTCAATAATACACTTCTCCACCACCTTCCCGATCTTCCTACCCTTGTGACTACTAATTCTCACAAAACTCAGAATTTTCTTGTGTACAACCCATTTCTCGTCAATGAAAGGACCAGTGAGACATAAGTAACTTAAATTCTAAATAGATGTCCACATATCGGTTGTCAAAGCAATTATGGACTTCAAATGCCACAACTTGTTCTTGAGTGCAGCTTTCTCACAATTTAAGATCTTCGAACAATCCCTTGCCACTGTGAAACGGGAAATATTCTTCCATAACGGTTGCAATGCACTAAGAAATTTTCTAACCTTTGGATGTTCAACCTTCGTGAAACGATCTTCCGTACTAATTATCACTTCAGCAAGCAACTTCCTACACTCCTCCTGATCAAATCTCCAAGTACCAATCTCACTAGTTTGCCCTCCATCCTTTTGTGTGGTCTTGAAAGAGAGAAGTGTCTGCGAACTGTCTACATTATGAGGAAACTTCTTGCAACTTGTAAGATGCTTGCACATCAAAGAAGTGCCATTAGCCACACTATACGCAAAGGTCTTCTCACAATACATGCACTTTGTCCCCTCAATCTTGTTCATTTTGCTGTTATAAATCTTCTCAAAATGTTGCCACACCGCAGACTTGATATTTGGCCTAGACCATGGAGGCTTATTTGAAGTTGACTCTACAGCAATAGTCTGTGCATTCTGAACCTCAGCATTTTCTCTAGTCGATGACATTGTTTCCTGTAAAGATTACATAAATAAATAATTATTTAACCAGATAAAGAATTATTTATCAACAATAGAGAATAAATCCTATATCTAAGTTTGCAACTGTCGCAAATTACAGCAGCATCTTGCAACTACCACAAATTGCAGCAGCTTGCAACTGCTGCAATTTGCAAGAGCTTGCAATTGCCGTAAATTGCAACAGCTACATTGCAACATTTGCAATATTTATATTATACAAATAAATTATAGCTTGTGCAAATTGCAACAACTGTCGTAATGATCAGCAAAAGTGATTCACCATAATACTTATTGAACATATTTATTTCCTTGCAGCATTTGCAATATTTATATTATACAAATAAATTGCAGCTTGTGCAAATTGCAGCAACTACCGTAATGATCAGCAAAAGTGATTCAGTTATAAAATTTATAAAATTCAATCATACATAACATTTCATATCACGCACCTTCAATCTGAGTAATATGCCGCGGAGAATCAACACTTGAAGTTCCAGAAAAGTAGAAAACACAGAAGAAGAAGACGACAGAGAGAATGGAGAAGAAGAGAATATAGAGAGATTGAGATACCCTAATCGAATTGGGTATTTTGCTTTGTGTTTGTAAATGTAAAATTACAAGATACCCCATTATTTTATACTAACATTGCACAGGGGTCTATTTGATAAATTAATAAATTATTAATGTTTATAAATTTATTAATTTAATGTTATAATTGAGTATTTATAATATATTAAATTTAATGTAGTAAATTTAATATTATAAATTATTAATGTTTATAATGTAATATAATAATGTTGTAATTAATTAAGTAATTATTAAATTATAATGTAATGTTATAATTAATTAAGTAATCATACTATACATTTATAATATAATGTTATAATTGATTAAATTTCTAATTATTAATTAAATATTGTATTAATATTTATAATGTAATGTTATAATTAATTAAGAAATCATACTATAAATTTATAATGTAATGTTACAATTAATTAGATTTTTTAACTATTTAATTAAGTAATATACTAATGACTAATGTAGTAAATTAATAATGTTTATAATTTAATATTATAAATTTATAATTAATTAAGTAATCTGTAATGTTATACATAATTAAGTTATCATACTATAATGTAATGTTATAATTATTTAAGTAGTTATTTAACAATAATATAATGTTATAATCAATTAAATTTTGAATAATTTAATTAATTACTAATGTTTAATATTTATAATATAATGTCATAATTAATTAAGTAATTATTTAATTATATAATATTATAATTAATTAAATGATCATACTACAATATAAATTGTAATGTTATAATTGATTAAGTAATATACTATTTAACTATAATTAATATTATAACTAATTAAATTTCTAATCATTTAATTAAGTATTGTACTAATGTTTATAATATAATGCTATAATTAATTAAGTAATTATATTATAAATTTATAATGTAATGTTATAATTAATAAAATTCTAATCATTTAATTAAGTATTGTGTAAATTAGTAAATTACTAATGTTTATAATATAATGTCATAATCAATTAAGTAATCATTTAATTATGTAATGTTATAATTAATTATGTGATCATACTATAATTTAATGTTATAATGAATTAAGTAATCATACTATAAGTCTATAATTTAATATTGTAATTAATTAAATTTCTAATCATTTAATTAATATATTAATGTTTATAATGAAATATTATAACTGATTAAGTAATCATACTATAAATATATAATGTAATGTTATAATTAATTAAATTTTTAATCATTTAATTAAGTAATGTAATAATGTAGTAAATTACTATAATATAATGTTATAAATTCATAACTAATTAAATAATCATTTAACTGTGTAATGCTATAATTAATTAAGTGATCATAATATAATGTAATGTAATAATGTTATAATTTAATTAAGTAATTATTTAACTATAATGTAATGCTTAATTAATTAAATTTCTGATCATTTAATTAAGTAATCATTTGTTTATAATGTAATGTTACAATTAATATTTATAATATAATGTCATAATCAATTAAATAATCTTTTAATTATGTAATGTTATAACTAATTATGTAATCATACTATAATGAAATGTTATAATGAATTAAGTAATTATATTATCATACTATAAATCTTTAATATAATATCCTAATTAATTTGTTTATAATAGAATGTTATAATTAATTAAGTAATTATTTAATTATAATGTAATGTTACAATTAATTAAGTAATCATAAAACATTTATAATTTAATGTTATAATTAATTAAATTTTAATCATTTAATTAAGATTATGCTAATGTTTATATAGTAATGGTAATTACTAATGTTTATAATATATTGTCATAATCAATAAGTAATCATTTAATTATGTAGTGTTATAATTAATTAGTGATCATACATAATGTAATGTTATAGTGAATTAAATAACCATACTATAAATCTTTAATATATATAATTAATTAAATTTTTAATCATTTAATTAAGTATTGTTACTAATATTATAATGAAATGTTATAATTGATTTAGTAATTATACAATATGCAATGTTATTATTAATTAAATTTCTAATTATTTAATTAAGTAATATACTAAATGTTATAAGTCAATTAATTAGTACTAATCAATAAGTGTAATGCTATAATTAATTATACTATAAATCAATTAAGCAATGTTATAAAATTATAATTAATTAAGTAATCATTTAACTATAATGTAATGTTATAATTGATTAAGTATGATATTTAACTAGTAATTAAATTTATTAATGTTTATTAATTTATCATATATAATTAATTAATTACTAATTTATTATAGATATACTTAGAACTTGATAGTTGAAGTAAATAAATAAATATATTATTATTCAATCAAATATATTATTTTATTCAAAAATAATTCTTTTAATAACATTAAAACACTTTTAATTAGATACTAATTTCAATTATTCACTTGATTAATCAACACTTTAATATTAATGTATTATAATATATTAAAGTTTTTAATATGGTGTAGTTTATATGTAATAAGTATAATTGTATATTTATTTAATTAGGTTATTCTAAAAATTTAACTTTTTCTATTTTAAATTTTTTTATATGTAAAATAATAAAATCCCCAATTATTCACAAATATTTCATTGCAGTCCAGGTTCCAAAATAGGTTCCAAACAGGTTCTAAACTGGGTACCCGCTACAGGTTCTAAGTAGGGTCCAAACCGGGTACCCATTTTAGGTTCTTTTTCTAGGTTCTGATTCCGATTCCTCCACACATAAGAACTGGAACCGGAACCACACAGTGTCGATTCTAATAAAATAGAAATAGAACTTATCAGCACAGTGTCAGTTCCAAGTAGGTTCCGGTTTTGGTTCCGATTCTGATTCCCAGTAGGTTTCGGTTTTACCTGCTACCCATGCTCACCCCTGTGAAAACTCACTCTTCACTTTCTCAGTCATTAATCAGTTTCAGTGAAAATATACAACGGAATCAAGCAAGAAAATTGGACTGGAATTATCATTTATCGCCTCCTTGTGCGCATGTGGACCTGATCTTAACGGATTGTCAGGCTCATATTCAATCAAACAAAAACATTTTATTACTTCAAAACATTAACAAATAGTGATTGTGATCTTACATTACACTGATTGTGAAGCTCATATTCGATGAAAAAAACTCTTATTTAAAGATGCGGGATCTTTAACTCACACAAAGACCGAATAATCTTGCCGCTGATATTTAATCATCTAAGCACACACATTCTCTCAGTAATTGTTGGAGAAAAATGCCAAAGATTTGTGTCTTACAGTTTCCAGGTGCCAAGCCTGTCTAATCATTTAAATCAATAAGAAAAGTTGACGTGAGAAACCTTACTTATTCCATTTCCTCATCCAGGGTTTCCATCAGTCTTAGAATAAATATCTTCTTACTAACAAATGACATCATTTCTAGGGCTGCATCTGGCAAAAATTCACAGATCAAGGCATTGACGTCTCTGATTATTTTCTTCACGCGAACTTCTTCATTCCATTAGCAGTACAAACTCTGAAATAGAGGGACCAACAAGGGAATTAACAGAACCCTTGATGATATTGTCAATGACCAAAAAACAAGCAAAACATGTAGTGCCACTAGAACCAGTAAATAAGGATAAGAATTAGCTAATGTGCTTCTAAAACTCTTAAGTACCAGTGAAATCGAATTTCAAATCAACACCAAGTGCATGAAAGTTGTCATATTGTTAAAGATAGCAGGCATATAAATATTTAAACACAGGATGCAAAATACATGCTCTCTGCATTTATCTTTCTTGCCATTAGACCTATTAAATTAAAAATGACAGCTGCAATAAACATAAAATTATTAACCAAACAATCCATCTACAGAAATATTACTTAAAAGTGTTCATCCAACAGCATATGTATAGAACTACTAAATGTTGGATAGTATCACACCAATTACTCTATTCATACAACAAAGTGAAAGAAAGACAATCAATAAGGAAATACTCTCAAGAGTCAAAAACAAATATTCATAATATATTAACAGATGCTATGCTAGATTAAATTATGTAATCAAGAAAAATCAACAGCAAGGAGTGGGTTCATTTAACTCTGGACAATTGGACTTGAAGTACATTTCTCACTTGTGTTACTGAAACTTGCTTTACAAGAATGTCTTCAAATAATCCTAAAGTTAAAGGGACCTGAGGAGTTTTCTACATTCTTGATGCCCAGTTGTCTGGTCCACAGCTGATTGTCTGGTTTTATCAAAACCTTCTGGCAAAAGGCGTCCCGTTTCCATCTTGTTTAATAGCTTCATTGCCAGATCATCTTTTCCACACTGGCTGAGTCCACTATGAAGCTCAGACAAAACAACTGAATCTGGAGTTATACGTTTTTCAAGCATATCCTGCAAGACTTCAACTGCTCCATCAAAATCGTCATTCTTACAAAAAGTAGATATCAACATCTCTAAAGTATTTTTGCTCGGATGATAACCACTCCTGATCATGCTTTTATACAGCTGAAAGGCACGCTCAGAGTTCTTCCTCACACACTGGCCAGTGATAAGACCTGAAAAAGTTGAGGCATTTGGGACCAAGTTTTCTTTATCAAGAACTTTAACCAAATTCGCAGCTTTCTTTGTCTTGCCCTCCTTGCATAAACCCAGTATCAAGGCATTATAAGTCAGTATGTCAACCTTGACTCCATTCCTCAACATCTCTTCATAAAGCCTGCTACCCATATCACTGTTTCCCACCTGACTATAACCATTTATCAAAGTATTATAAGTCACAGTATTGGGAGAGACATTCATGGCTTTCATCTCACTAAAGATCTGATTAGCTTCATGTAATTTCCCTTCCTTGCAAAAACCGTGGATAAGCGTATTAAAAGTAATCACGTTTGGTTGCACACCATTCCTCCCCATCGAGTTTTTCTGCTTCACAGCCAAGCTCAAAAAACCCTTATTACAATACCCTGTGATCAACGTATTATAAGACGAAACTGTGGGACTAAAACCCATATTCTCTATTTCCTTAAACACCTCAGCTGCCTTTTCAAGCTTCCCCAGCTTACAGAAAACACGCATAAAAATATTTAGAGTATAAATATTCGGTGAAATCTTAAACCGCTGCATTTTTCTGTAAAATCCCAAAGCAATATCAACCCTATTAAGATCAAGCAATGAACCCAGATACTTGTTGCAAGATTCAATAGTAGGCAAAAAACCATAATCCTTCATTTGACAAAAAGTGTCAGTAGCATCTCTAAACTTCTTCATATGAGCATATGTCTTAAACAATGAATCAAAAACACGTGGAGAAGAATCACACATCCTATATGAATATAACATAGCTTCAAACAACTTACATTGTAAATCAATTGAACCCGAACCAAGAATACCTCTCAAAATTGATTCCGCAGACTTAAATTTCCTGTTTTTGGTTAATATATGAAGAATAATTGAATGAGTTTCTAGGGTATGTGAAGTGGGTTTATGGTTTCGGACCCAAGAGAAAAACTCAAGTGAAAGAACATGGTCTTTTTGAATCTTTAATAAAATATGCTTGACTCTAAATGGTGTCAAATGGGTTGACAAAGGTTTGAGATTTTCCCATTCAGAGTGAATTAAGTGACTATAGACAACGTTCACAAAATCGAAGTCTTGACCTTTAGGTTCAGGAAGTGTTCTGTGAGGAATTGAAATCGGGTTCCAGTTCTTTTTCACTAAATTCCCAGAAATTGAAGGGTTTCTAGAAGTGGAATTTTTCTCTAGAGTGTTGAACATACTTGAAAATCGACGAACTGTCAAAAGATGGCCCATCGGAATTTAACATGTAAATGCGAAATATTATTCTTCTCCTTTGAACAAGATGGCAAGTGAAAGCGTGTTATAATGAAGGTAACATGTTGGTACGGAATTTGAAAGCACCAACCTTTGTAGAGATGGTTGAGTCATGGGCGTAGCAATTTTTGGGGCAGCTCTGTTATCTCCACCGTCGAGTGCCGCTTGGCCTGGCTTAGCGGCCTTTGGAAGTCGGTCCAAGGGTCAAGAAGTTTGGAGGGAAAGTGGAGAAAATTTAGCTGCCCGGTCATCCAAGTATCTATTTAAGAAAATGGCCTTGAAAATGTTCATCAAATTTTTTTTAATTTAGAGAAAATGACGTGGCATAGTTAGGATTAATTAAACATGTAAAATGAGTTAAAATGAAAAGATTAAAACATATGTGGGGTCGAATAAAAAATAAAAAGTTTTTAAAATTTGAAATTTCGCAAAACAAGTCTCACTAACTATTCAACTCGCTTAATCGAAATTCATCAGTTCAAAAAGCGATTTCTTGAACGAAAGGGAGACGCGATTTTTTCTGATCGAACACCAATTGATTTGCACCCTAAATCAATTTTCTGAACCCTAAACCGAATACAGTCGCGATTTTCGGCGATATAGTCACGATTTTCGACGATTTGTGAACCCTAAAATCGATTTCCTTAACCGTAAACGAAAACTGTGCCATTTTCGGCGATACAGTCCAGATTTCCGATCGAAACTGCAAACTTTGACACCAAATTCAATCCAAAACATGAGTGACACTGACAATGAGGAGGGAAGCCCAACGCCACTTCGAATCCTAAATTCCGGTGGCGCAAGCAGTTCAATGGCTGCTCCGGTGGATCATCTGACAAGTGAAGGTGGTCCACACGTAGAGGAGACGCCGGCGGCACAAGAACAGAGGGAAAAACCAGCAAAGGGTCTGAAGACGAGGAGTCAGGTGAGAATTCAGGCCTGAAGGAGGATTCCGGAGAGAATTCAGGCCAGGAGGTGGATTCCGGCGAGAATTCAGGCCAGGAGTGGGATTCCGGCGAGATCAGGCCAGGAGGAGTCGCCGGAGGATCCAGGCGACGAGGAGAAGGCCGGCGAAGATAGGGTACGTAGTTGGGAATGTTGCTTGTAATTCGCTTAAGCGATCATTTGTATCGCTTAAGCGATTATTTATTTTACTCGTGATGCAGCCATGATCGCTTAAGCGATAAAAAGGATCGCTTAAGCGATCTGAGATCTGGGCAGATGATTCTGCCCAGACCTAAGATCGCTTAAGCTATCATGAGTGTTTACTCTTGGTCGCTTAAGCGATCTTAGGTCTGTCTGGCAGAATCACAGATATAATAAGCGATCTGTTGTATCGCTTAGAGATTCTCAGTGAACTCTGGTCGCTTAAGCGATTTAAAATCGCTTAAGCGATCTTTCATGAGGCAGAGTAAGATCTCTTAAGCGATCCGAGATCGCTTAAGCGACTACAGTGGTTTTGGTTTATTTTTGTTGATGACATTTTATTTATACGATTGTGCAGATTGTGCGGACCGTAAAATGTAGAGAGTACGAGTTGGAGCCTATAAGTGAGAAGGTACCCTACTTCCCTGCAAGGGTGACAGTGAGGGCGAGCTGGGAGGTTTTGACAGAATAAGGGCCATTTTCTAGAATGAGGCATGGTGAAAGAGATTTTGGTGGCATGTTTTTGGTCAGTTTTTAAGAATCGAAACAAAGTGGAAAAAGTCATTTTGGGGGCAGGGAGTGCATTACATGTTGATGCACTCAGTAAAATGCAACAAAAAAAAAAGAAATGTGGTTCGTGGTGGAGGGAAAGCCACTACGGTTTGGTATGATGGAGTATGCGTTGGTGACGGGCTTAGGATGCGGGGAAAGTGCCAACTAAGGCGGAGGCAGACGCAGTAAGGACGAGTGCGGGAGCCATAAACTTTTGTAAAAAGGTTTTGAAAGGGGCAAAGTCTATTACAGGAAAAGTTTTAGAGAAGAAGCTATATACAGTTCGGTTAGTGATGCAGAGAATATAAAAGTGTGCTTGATTGTTTTTACATTCTATTTATTGGCTGGTGACTCAACAAAAGCTGTTGAGAAAGATTGGTGCTGTTTGTAAGCGACTTGGAGTTCTTTAATTTTTTCCGTGGGGACGGATATCATTTGAGCGAACCATCAAGAGCCTGAAAAAACCAGACATGGCGTTAAAGCATGCCGAATGGGGCGGGAAGGCTAAACAAGCACGTATAATTGTTTGGCTTCCCATGGGCAAGCAGGTAAATATTAATATCTCTCTGTTATATTTTTATATATGTGTGTTTGAATAATGACATGGACTGTTTTTTTACAATGTAGGCTTGGATGTACGAGGCCATCCCTGTCCTCGCTAAGGCGGGGGGGAGGAGCAACAATGTGAATGTGCAACAGCAATTTCCTAGGATGTTGCGGTGGCATGTCGAGAGCTATAACCATTGGGATTATGGCCAATTAGAGATTGAGATTCAAGCAGCTGGGGTAAGATTGAAGGATTAAGCTTTTGAATATGCAGTTGCTTTTTATTTTGCTTCAATCTGATTGATTTTATTTTTATTGCAGGGAGTCGTCCGTCCCTTTTGACCGGTTGGGGATGAAGCGGAAGAGGACTATGTCACATCTTTCACAGCAATGGAGGATGAAAGGGATGAATAGATAGACCGCCTGATGCGGGACCTAAAAGGGGTCACGCATGTGATGGCAGTTGCAGGGCCATTGCTTGACAATGTCGTTGATGCTGAGGATAATGAAGCTCGGGGGGCCGAGGATGAGGAGGAGAAGAGGGAGGAAAAGGTTCGTATGCCTCAGCAAACCGGTACAACAAGTACCGCTTTGCCGAGACATCGGCGTAGGAGAATGAGGTTGTTGACCTCATAAACGGCCTGTTTGAGATTTTACAACAGCCGTTATGCAAGACTTGAGAAGATGGAAGAAACAATGAAAGGGTGGAGAGAAAGTGGATAAGGTGGGAGGGAAAGTAGGTACAATAGAGGGCGAATTTGGTACAATGGAGGAGGAAGTTGGGGGAGAATAAAGGCAGTTGAAGTGCAAACTGGCTTGAAAAGAGAGAGCCGAAAGAGCAAGTTTATGAAATCGCCTTACATGGTAGTGACACAGGTAAAGAAGAAGAAAATGAAGAAACAAATGGAGGAACAACCAGAAATGGAGGAGGTTGAGGAGGTTGGTGGTGGAAGTGGGGCGGTGATAATGGAGGAGGGGGGTGTGGGAGGCGAAGGAAGCGGGGATGTAAAAATGGAGGAAGGGGGAGGAAGTGGGGAAGGGAAATTGGACTCAAATGTCGATTTGTATAGGCCAATAGAGGAAAAGAAAAAATCTTTTAGTTATCTATTACAATGGATCGGGAAGTGATGGCCATATAAAGTGTAAGACAGGGGATTATCCCCAGGAATGGTTTCAGAAGTTGTTGACGATGGGGACGTGGCTTGAGGACTCGGTGAGTTATTTCACTTAATTTTCCTTATTTTTGCCTATGTTTCCATACTTATCTTGTGTTTTTTATTGATGCAGCACATCGATGAGATATTGGCACTGATGAGGCTACGACAGACTAGTGATGGTGATCTGTTGTATCCCAACTGTGCTATCACCGATGTGGCGTTTGGGCAAACGCTTGTTTCGGCATATCGGTCTTTAATTAAAAATGCCGTTGTAGTGGTGTAGCAAAAGGACCGAAGCGAAAACGATTGGCCGCACAATAGTCGGACTGCATCCCTGATGATTTCCGGTTTGATGACAGGTTATGCAGTAGTAAAGGGGGATTGGCCCAAATAGGCCACGGTTGGGCCTTTGTTAAAAGAGTGTACTGCATCATCCTCGTCAAACAGATGCAATGGATAGCAGTCGTTGCGCATCTAGAGGAGAGGTGTCTGAAGATCCTTGACTGCAATCCAACCATTTGTCGAGACAAGCAGTTGAGGTCGAGTTAGAGCCACTGTCCAGGTTGTTGCCGTGGCTGTTGTGTGACAGCGGGATGTTTGGGCACTTGGGTGATCAGGTACTAACCGGAAAGTGGCCAATTCAGCGCTCTACCTGCCCAATAAATGAGTCAAGGTAAATTTTGTTTAAAACTAACTACATAATACAATTGTTCTATAAGTTATTATAATGCTAATGTCTTCTTCCTATTGTACGCTGAATGTGGGGCATATGCCCTGAAATTTATTCAGTTGACATGACCAACAGCCCGATGGACAGCTTGAATGACGAAACAATGAGAGACTGTCGGGAGCGCTGGGCTGTCGACTACTTCCATGGGTAGATGGATCCGTTTTGAGTGACCAAAACCCAATCAAAGGGTATGAAAGTTGGACGCTGAATTTTGTAGTTTATGTGATTGATGTTCATACTTGGGTTTTTTGAGTTGACTTTATGTGATACCGATTATAATTATCAATAAGGGTGTATAACATGTTCATTTTCAATGGTGTTTTGATGTGTACTTTGTGTCAGAACTGCTTATTTAATTTGTTCTCATTGGCTTGGCTATTTTCTAATTCATGCCTTTCTCATATTATGGTGTTTTATACTGCAGGTCACTAAGTGGAATGGTCAATCTCCACAGAAAGTCAACCGAGGCACATATTAGCCGCCTTGTAGAATCATCTTGAATTGTTGGATGCTAGTGCAAAGCCAGAAAGCATCAGGAAGAATGATGTCGTGGGCATCTTTTCAAGCATGGACTGCCCTGATACCATTCACTGTGGATTCTAAACTCTTTGGCATCAAAAACTAAATTAAAGGCACTGTATAGGAAATTGTAAATAATTACTATGTATGGTGTGATCATTGTAAAGAATTGGATCTGATATTTGGGATATATTTTTGTTTGTCCATATAAGATATCATCAGCAGTTTCAATTTACTATGTATGGTGTGTCCATATAAGATATTTTTGTTTGTCCACATATCTCTCTAAAACGACCAAGACTTTTTCAGAAATGATCGCTTAAGCGATCTTAAATCGCTTAAGCGACCAGGTCTGGGCAGAGGTCATTTTAGAAAGAATCGCTTAAGCGATACGCAGGGTGCTAGCGCAAGGTCGCTTAAGCAATCATAGTCTGGGCAGATGTCATTCGCCTCGGAAAAGATCGTTTAAGCGATCATAAATCGCTTAAGCAACCATGTGTCTTTAGGAATAATCGCTAAGCGATATAAATGGGTCGCTTAAGCGATCATAGTCTGGGCAGATGGCATTCTGC